CCCAAACAAGCTTATCAACTTTTAATAACGAATTCCTAAATTTTATTTTCTAATTCACTAAGGAAAAAATGATGTGTGATATAATATAGGAAGCTACTTCTCAAAAAACACAATTGCTTCTCACAAAACAGACTTCCTAATCATCAGCATTCTTAATCATTTTTTATCAGAAATTATTTTCTAAAACCAGATAACAGTTCAAAGCAACTCTTCACCATCTTCAAGTGTATAGCTGCTAAGCCACTGAGGTCAGGATGACAAGCAGTTATTTTTGCAAATCTTCATATCCCACGTCCAAAGCTATATTGCTAATAAGCAACAAATTTAATCCAAGGATAATGGGATGACTTTCACTTGATAATTTGAAGTGAACTATTGAAATATAGAACTAAAGTCACTATATCAGTGACAACAATTTCTGAACAATAATAGGAAAACAGGTAATTAGGACATCAATGGGACTGCATTCATGTGTTTGCTGTCTAGTAAACATTAGCTTAGGACCTTCCATTGAAATCTTACGAGTACAAACAACAAATGGAACAAGAAAGAATTTTTTTTTGATTAAAGTATATCGACCCTTGGAGCGCTCTATTATCTAGCTCTTGAATATAATCTTCCACAGATGCACCAAAGTCTATGTCAAGTAACACCTCACCTAAGTTTTTTTAATCCCGATTCCCCGTTATGTCAAGTAACACCTCAAAGTATATCGGGCCTACTTGAGGCGCTCTTCAATCTCCAAGCTTGGGTAGCGTCGGTTAAGAGGATGGTTAATGAGACAGCTGCTAAGAAGGAGGCCTTGGCGGATTGGACTAAGGGAGTGTTGAAGCAACATGAAGAGACGTTGTCTATATATGATCAAGCCCTTGCCGAACTTAAGAAGGATTGGACTTCGTGTTGTGAGGCGATAGCTAATGGCGTGATTGTAAAAGATTCACCTAAAGTGGAGGTGTCGAAACCTCAACACTATGCCCGGAAAACATGAGACCAAGGATGTGGGCAACTTCTTTTGGCAAGTAGAACAATACTTTGAGGCAGTAGGATTGAATGAGGATGCTAACCGAGTAAGGACATCAACATCCTTGTTAACAAAGGATGCAACTCTATGGTGGCACATGAAGCTCCAACAGTACAAAGAGGCAGACTGAGGGTTGCCGAGTTGGATGGAGTTCAAAGAAGCGATTTATGCTTAATTCTACCTAAGGAGGCAGATTGGGATGCAAGAGACAAGCTGTGGATCTTGAAGTATACAAAACTTATCCACTGACTACATGAAGCATTATGTTTCCCTAAAACTCCAGGTGCGTGAAGCAGTATGTTTCCCTAAAACTTATCCACTGACTACATGAAGCAGTATGCAAGAGACAAGCCTGACTATGATCATATGTATGATTTCATCAAGTGACTTCAGTCATGGGCACAACAAGAAGTGAGAGGTTGTTAACCTTTGTAGAAGCAGTGTCCACTACCAAGTCCTTGTCAAGGCTCAAGAAGAAGGGTGACCCATCAAATCTAAGGACTACAATGGTAAAGGCGGAGGAGCACAAGAAAAGGGTTCTAAGGGCTGATATAAGAATAGACTAGACAAGTTTCTAAGGGTTTCTCCAAGGACAAGAAAGACTTCAAACCCAAGAGATGCTACTTCTGCGATGGTCCACATTAATGGAAAGTGTCCTAGGAGATAGGCCCTCAATGTCATAGTCAAGCAAGAAGAGCAAGCACCCAAGAAAGAGAAGCAAATTGGATCTTTGAGCTTCTCAATGCCTTGAATGTCAAACCCTCATCAAAGATCTCACCTAAGGATGGCTTTATGTACGTGGATGCGGTGATCAATGGCAAGGCCACTCTTGCCATGCTAGACATGGGTGTAACATGCAACTTCATGGCGGAAGATGAGGGTAGACGAGTTGGGTTGGCAGTGACCAAGTCTACAAGTAGCATAAAAATGGTGAATGCTTCTCCTAAGCTAACTTGTGGTGTTGCGCAAGGGATAAGTTTTGGTATTAGCACGTGGAAGGGAATGTTGGACTTCTCGGTGGTACTAATGGACGATTTTAAGGTTGTATTAGGCATGGAGTTACTCAAACAAACGAAGGTCATGCCTACTCCACATTTGAAGCAGATGACGATCATGAAGGAGGAGACTCCATGCATGGTGCCAACCAAGATACGCGGTAAGACATAGTTGAAGATCATTTCTACCACGCAGGTCAAGAAAGGCTCTAAGAAGGGAGAAGTCACCTACTTGACAACAATTAAAGAGGAGAGTCTAACAAAAGGAGATGGAGAAGAGATGACTACAGAGATAGCCAAGGTGTTAGATGAGTTCGGGAATGTGATCCCACCAGAGCTACCTAAAAAGCTACGGACGAAGAGGGAGATTAATCACCGGATAAAGTAGGTGCCTAGTGCCAACCATCTGCTATGGCGCCTTACTACATGGCCCCTCCGCAGTTAGAAGAGTTGAGAAAGAAGTTAAAAGCAATACTAGAATCTGACTAAATCTAACCATCCAAGTCAAACTATAGCTCGCTTGTGTTGTTCCAACAGAAGTACAATGGATCGTTAAAGATGTGTGTAGACTATCGGGCCGCAAACAAAATCATGATGAAGAAAAAGTATCTCATTCCGTTGAAAGCTAACTTATTTGATCAGTTGGGGAAAGCACGATTTTACACCAAGCTAGATCTAAGGTCAGAATATTATAAAGTGAAAATAGCCATAGATGATAGAGGACGTGCCGAAAACTGCATGCGTAGCAAGGTATGGTTCTTATGAATTCCTGGATATGTCATTTGGTTTAACAAACGCCCCGACTACATTTTGCACCATGATGAACAAGATATTCCAACCTCATCTAGACTAATTTGTAGTGGTCTACTTAGATGACTTTATGGTGTATAGCTCTACCTTAGAAGAGCACATCAACTACCTATGGACCATGTTTAGACTTCTCCTAGAGAATGAATTATATGTGAAGAGAGAAGTACTCCTTTACAAAGGAAGAAGTGTTGTTCCTAGGGGATAAGATCAAGGGCACGAAGTTCATGCATGAGAGCAAGATCAAAGCTATTTAGAATGGAAAAAGCCAACCAAGATGTCTGAGCTTCCCTCTTTCCTTGGATTGGCAAACTATTATTGTCGGTTCATCCATGATCACACCAAGAAGGCGGTCCACTCACCGATCTCCTAAAAAATAACACACCAAGGGCGTGGACGAGGAGAAATTAAGAAGCTTCGAGGAGCTAAAGAGGGCACTTTCCAAGGAGCCGGTATTAAGCTTCGCGAATCCCACCAAGCCATACGACGTACAAACTGACGCTTTAGGTTTCGCTGTTGATGGTATGCTCATGCAAGATGGACGTTCAATAGCTTATGAGAGCAGAAAGCTAAATGATATTTAGCGTTGATACATAGTATAAGAAAAGGAGATGACGCGGTGGTGCATTGTTTGAGGACATGGAGGCACTATTTATTGGGAACAAGGTTCGTGATAAAGGCTGGCAATGTTCTCTAAATAAATGTTGTTTGCAATGACGTCATGTCATGTCGATGTGTCTCTAACATGTCACTATACATTTTTGGGGTCTAAAACATGCTTATAAACATCCGAAAAACAATAAAGCATTCTAAAAATATAAGTATGGTCGATATAAAGGTTGGTGGAACTGACCCCACGTCACTAATACAAACTGATGGAATCGACAGAGTCTCTCACTTAGTATTATTGGTCGATCCGACTGGCAAATACCGTCGGTCAATCTACCAACAGGTAGAACTGGCCAGTGGGCCATTGTCGCTTGCCATAGCACCATGTTCGTTTGTTTTTGCTGATTTTTGTTTTACATTCATACTTTTATATTCTAAACATAATAAAATATATTTAGTGCATAAAAGTGGATCGAAATCAAAATTAGAGTTTTGACATATAATAAAAATCACAATTTTTTTCAATATAAACAACTTTTAACAATCAACAAATAAAGATCTATAGAGAAACACCAAACTCATAAATGGGATAATTTTGATAGAAGCTCTTTAAAAATAAAAGAGACAGAATAGGGAAAGAAACAATGGCAAGTGAAGAAACACTGGCACTAATCTAATCGAAGAGCTCCAAAAATGGATGCAATATCCCCTCCAAAGCCCTAGCTCATAAAGCCCTAGTTCTAAAAATTCTACAAGCCCTATTTTTAAAGAAAATAGAAGTTTAAATAAGCTGGAAACACGATAAAGTTTGGGTTGACTGCTAGTGGGTCCACTAAATAGGTGAAAATTTGACTTTCTCAAAAAGATTCCAAAAAATTCATGCTAACTAAGGAAAATCTAACAAACAACTCTCTTCTTCGGCCCACTCCTATTCTAGCCTCTATTGGTTCTAAAAATTTTCTGAAGTTCAAATAAATCTTCAGCAAACCCCAGAAAATGGAAAAAATCATGTATCTAGTACCTTTACCGTACTTCTATTGTATTTCTACCTGTGTATATATACTATTCTAGGACTGAGGTCTCACATGAGATATATGTAAGACAGATTCAACATGGTCCGATCTTGACCAACATAGAGGCAGTCGCACTGCATTTGCTTTTCATGATTTATTTAATTAGGGATTTACAGCTTATATGTATGTAGTTGCCTAATTTGCGTTCATATTATCTATTGTTAAGAACCTTGAAGTTACACCATGCCGCATCCAAAATTTTAATTATTTATATATAACATCACCTTATGAGCTAAAGATTTTTATTTTAGATGTTGGATTATGTTTTGCGATGTCTGCTTTTGTGTCCAGCTTTCAGATACATTTTTGTCAATCCGGCTGCTCTAGCTCGGACTCCAAATGAGTCCTGCTGTTAAATTTCTTTCGAATTCAATGTATATGTCCACAATGGATGCTTAAAAGGTTGAGAAAATTTTTGAACTACACCAATTGCTCAAGCTCACTAACTAATTAATAGGATCATGCCAAACGCAAGATCAAGAACAGGAATCTTACCTCCTGGAGCAGCGTCCCATCGACGGCGCTAAAAACCCTGACCAGGGTCCCCTTACTACTCGCCGTCGCGACCAACCTCCCGTCCTGCGACAGCGCAAAGCAAGCGATCTGGAGTCGTTGAGCCATTTATAAAAAACTGTCGCGCGGTCCCCCTCGCCTCTCGTTAGTGCCGTCCACCCCTCACCTGCCCCTTCTGCCCCCCACGGTGCCACATCCAGCACCAGCGTGACCCCTCGGCTGCTGCGACACCGCGTCAGCTAGTGCCCTCCTCGGTTCGGCACCGTGTCTACGATCTGAATGCACCAGCTTCAAATCCGCGAAGTTGTAGACGCCAAGATCCTATCGATCGAGGACCACGACTATCCGCCGTCCCGCCCGGCAGCCTGACCGCCCGGACCTCGGACCGGAACGAGAGCTGCGCCGATGCCACCGGATGGTGGTCGTCCAGCATCATGGCTTGTCCGGGGTAGTGGGTGGGCCGCGCCGACGAGGCTGAGGATGTTGCCACGCGAAGAGCCATCTCGACCGACGCCGATGCCGCCGGTACGTCGAACGTCGGCGCGGAAGATCTCGCGGAACGCGCGTCGCAGTTGAAGCATCCGGCAATCCCGCGCGTCGGTGCGGCGGCCGAAGCAGCCCCGTCCTGGTTGAAGGCACAGAGGTGGAGGAAGCGACGGCGCCGAGCGGCGGAGAGGCCGGGGGGGCGCAGACCCTCCTCCGTGCGATGGTTCGCGGTTCGTCGGCGTTCGCGATTCGGTCGTGGACGCTCTCCGACATGGGATCGGGGTCGGGTTGCGAGAACGAGGAGGGTGAGGGTTGGGCTTTCCTGTTCCAGCGAAGGAGGACTTGTACTCGCAGGTAGAAGAACTGTGGCTGTGATTGAGTTTAATTACGGTGAGAATCATTTTAATTGTTTTGTTTTTCTTTTTCTTTTTTTAACCCCCCCGATGCAAATAGTAAATAGAATATATTTGGAAGATTTGGAGGGCACCACTAACCACATATTTTGGAGAATGCAACGGTGGCAGGAAGATTCGTGGGCAGCTACATTGAGGGAGTTAATTAAGATTGTAGGAAATTGACGCCCTTGGATTTTGATGAAGAATCCAAATGCATTCATGTATGATACGACGAACTTGCCATCGCGTGGAGTTGGTGGGCATGAGAAGCTCCATCACTGAAAACATGTGCGTTGGAGTCTTTAAAAGTAGATGCAAATCTTATTGCCTCAAGAATGACCGAGGCGAGCTGCTGAGAAGCTTCGTCCTCGTTAATTGTGAGATAAGTTGATTGGTGTGCCTTCCAACTCAATTCTATTACGGAGTTCTAATCTGCATGCATGCTCGAGCTGGGCAGAGGGGGTTGTGGGTTGACAAGATACTCGTCAACTCTTCTAATAATAATGCTAGGGAAATTAATAGGGCGAGGGTGAAGTATAAAACAGAAACGCTATTTGGCTCGCTGATTAACTCGCGGCCTCAACTCGCGCCTACGTGGCTGGCTCCACGTCAGCAACCCCAATTTCATTCCCGTGACCTCAACTTCCTTCCCCAAACTCGTTCTCTCTCCTCACTTCAGAGAAAAATCCCCAAAAGAAACCCACTCCCCCTCCCAACCCTAGCCCCAACTCCGCCGTGAAACCGCCGCCGTCCCCTGACTCCGCCGTGACACCGCCGCCGCCCCCCGCCATCCCCTCAGCTCCACTCCCCTTCCCAACCCTAGCCCCAACTCTCTTGTGACACCGCCGCCGTCCCCTGACTCCGCCGTGACACCGCCGCCGCTCTCTGACTCCGCCGACACACCGCCGCCATCCCCTCAGCTCTCCATCCCCCCACTTCAAAATAGGTACTTTTCCTCTTTAATCCATCAAAAACCCTCGATTTCGTGTAAATTTCACTTCTTTCCATCTGATTTGATATGATTTCTGTTTGCATCTTGTTTAATTGAAACCTACTTACAAACTATTTTGGCTTGAGAGAGTGATGTGTTTAATTCGATTTCGTGGGTCTTGTGGATTTTACTGGTTAATTAAAAATTCGTGGTTCTTGAGAGAGTGATGTGTTTAATTTCAAGGTGGGGATTTTGTTTTTATTTATGAGCTTCATACCAGGAAATCATGATGTAGTTATTATTTAGTTGAAATCATGATGTAGTTATTATTTATTTGGTCACAAATTTTTGTTTACTCTAAAGATGAAGTAACTAAAAGAAAAGGAAACAACTGCAAGTGTTCATTAGCATCATAACCTTATACAGAATTAGTCGTAGCCATCACTAATTATGTTTTGGTATGTCAATGAATAAAATCTGTGTTTTTCATAATGCAGCTTGTCAGTTTCAGTCAATTCTTTGCTCAGTTTCTTTGTTCAGTTTCTGTCAACTATTTTTCTATAAAGTTTATTGATGATCAATTTGAACAGGCACGATAGATATTAAGGAGTTTGATGATGTAGTTGATGATGCCTTGAATAATTGCTCGGTTGATGAGAGATCTGAGTTGCCTCAGCACACTGATCAGCGGATTGAGCAAAATGAGCCTAAAATCGGGATGGAGTTTAATGATCCAGATTAATTGTTTTAGTTTTACAAAGACTATGCAAAGAGCAGTGGATTTCCAATTAAGAAACATACAAGAAGGAAGAATAAAATGGGCATTGTTAGAAGTATGGCTTTAGTATGTGGTCGAGCTGGCAAACATAATAGTACTTGTCAAAATCCCTTAAAACCACAAGTAAGCTACATAGTTGGGTGTAATGCAAAGATAACAGCTAGGTTAAATCTGGACGGAAGATGAGAAATATCTGTGGTTGTTCTGGAGCATAATCATGGTCTTAGCCCTAGTAAAAGTCGTTTCTTTCGATGCAACCGAAGAATTAGTGCACATGTTAGACATCAAATTAATCAGAATGATCAAGCCGGAATCAGAATCAACAAAAATTTTAGCTCACTGGTACATGAGGCTGGTGGATATGAGAATCTGTTGTGTGATGAAAAGGCTTGCAGGAACTTGGTTGATGAATCAAGGCGTTTACGTCTCTGCGAAGGTGATGCTTCAGCGATTATAAAATATTTTTCAAGGATGGTTGCAGAAAATTCAGGTTTCTATTTTGATATTGAATTGGATGATGAAGATCATTTGAAAAATATATTTTGCGCAGATGGTAGGAGCAGAGAAGCTTACAAAGAGTTTGGTGAGGCCGTCACTTTTGATACCACATACTTAACTAATAAGTATGATATGTCATTTGCACCATTTATTGGCGTTAACCATCATGGGCAATCAATTTTACTTGGATGTGGGTTGATTTCAAAAGAAGACACAGAGACTTTCATATGGCTATTTACAAAGTGGGTTGAATGTATGGATGGATGTTCTCCACAAGGGATAATAACTGACCAAGCAAGAGCCATGAAAAATGCAATTGAGATTGTTTTTTCAAACACTAGACACAGAGGGTGTTTGTGGCATATAATGAAGAAGCTGTCAGAAAAGTTAGGCAGGTACACTGAATATGAGGTCATCAGTTCTACCATGAAAGGAGTGGCGTATGATGCACAAAGTCCACAAGAGTTTGAACAACAGTGGAATGAAATGGTTGACATGTATGGATTGGAGGATTGTGATTGGTTAAGTGAATTGTATGAGGAGAGAAACCGATGGGTTCTATGTTTTGTCAAAAATCATTTTTGGGCAGGAATGTCAACTACTCAGCGAAGTGAAAGCATGAATGCTTTTTTGATGGATATGTCAATTCAAAAACAAGTCTAAAACAGTTTGTTGAGCAATATGAAAATGCATTAAGAAGCAAGGCAGAAAAGGAGATGCGGGCCGATGCAGAGTCATTTTTAAAAGTAAAAGCTACTGCAACAACTTATGATATGGAGAGTCAAATTCATGGAGTCTACACTTTGGCAAAGTTTAAAGAGTTTCAAGCTGAATTCACGGGAAAGATATATTGTGATATTGTAAACTATCAGGAGGGAGCATGGGTGCTTGAGTATGTCATTCGGGACTTGACTTTGCGGTTGGAGGGCGGCAAAAGGATTCCTAAATTCTTCACAGTATCCTTTCGTGAGAAGGATTGTGAAGTTCAATGTAGTTGTCAGTTGTTTGTGTTTAAAGACATAGTATGTAGGCATGCCCTTACCATTCTTATCCGTCACGAAGTCAGTTTTCTTTCGGAAAAGTACATTCTAAGAAGGTGGAGAAAGGATGTGAGGCGATCCCACTCGAAGATGGAAGTTAAATTTAATACTTGGGTTGTCATACCTAAACAACTACGCTATCGCGAGCTATGTCTTGCATTTAGTGAGGTTGCTGATCTTGTTGCTCAAAACAACCATGAATGTGAGGTTGTTAAAAAATGGATAGACACCAAATTTAAAGAACTACAACTTGCTGAATCAAGTCAAAAAGGAAAAGAAGTACTGATGAATCATGATTTTGTGGAAGAAAGAACTACAACTTGCTGAATCAAGTCAAAAAGGAAAAGAAGTACTGATGAATCATGATTTTGTGGAAGAAGAAAATGACCATGAGAATCAAGTCAAAAAGGAAAAGAAGTACTGATGAATCATGATTTTGTGGAAGAAGAAAATGACCATGAAACGGAGGAAAATGAAAACATATTGGATCCTTCCTCTCAGACTCGGAAAGGTCGGCCTAGGCAAAACAGAATTAAGCCAACAAGTAGGTGAAGAAAGAAGAAAATTGATCTCAATGCTAATGTGCCCGTCAACAATCCATCACAGTCTCAAGAGGGTGCGAAGAAAGAAGAAAATTGATCTCAATGCTAATGTGCCCGTCAACAATCCATCACAGTCTCAAGAGGGTGTTCTTTCCTACACACAAGATAGCATGGTTTCAAATGCTTACATGCCACAACCAAATCCAGTGCAACCATGGGGAATGTGTTGGCCGGCACAACAATTAACAAATGAATGTATGCAATTGGTAAGATATAGTCTCGTGTATTATATCAACATCTTTATTTTCTATGTTACAGATAGGATTTAATCACCATAGCTTACATTGATGCAAACCTTTTTTAATCACCATAGTTTATATGATGTGTTAGAGCCTCAATTTTCAATGCCTGGAGATCTACATGCGATGGGGTTGACAGAATTGTA